GACAAGCTCAAGCCCAGGATGGGCAACTTAGTGACTTAGAGAGATCCCACCTCAAAATAATAACAAGGGCTGGGGATGTAGCTGAACAGTAGAACACTGCTGGTTAGGAAGGGAGGGAGATCGGTCTAAGGTCAATAATCTAATTTTCACTTAAGAAAAAAAGAATGAAAATTAAATCTAAAATAAGTAAAAAAAAAGAAAATGAAAATTAGAACAGAAGATGCAAATGTACACAGGTATAAAGACAATCAACAAGCCCAAAAGCTGATTCTTTAAAGTATCAATCAATAAATAAGCCTTTTGCCAGATTAAGAAAGAGAAGACACAAATTACTAATATCAAATAAAAGAGGGACCATGATTACTGATCCTATGAACACTGAAAGGATAATAGAGGAATATAGTGGTACCTTGGTTTATGAATGCTTTTGTTTGTGAACAATTTTGCTTGCAAACAAAAGCATTTGTCAAAATTTTGGGCTTCTTTGAAAACTCTATATCTGGTAACAAACACAACCACAGGTACCCTTCCCACACAAATATAAACATGGCCATTTTTTCCAAAATCATGGAACAAATTAAGTTCATGAACTGAAGTACCCTGGTACTGTGAACAACTTCAATCTCACAAGTCTGAGAACACAGATTAAATAGATCAATCCTAAAAAGAAATAATTTTCCAAATGTTGTAGAAGGAATATATTGTCTGAATAGAGCCATATCTATTAAAGAATTTGAATGAATAATTAATAACCTTGCAAAACAGAAACATCAGCTCCAGATAGAGTCTTAAGAAAGAATGACTGTCTACAATCTCTTCCAGAAAATAAGAGGAAAGGGAATACTTCCATAATTCATTTATCAGGCCAGTATTATCCTAATCTGACAAAAAGGCAAAGATATTATAAGAAAAGAAAAATATTAATACTCCTGTATTAATTATTTCACATTACTGATACAAAATACCTGAGACGCATAACTTAAAAGTAAGAGAGGTTTATTTCAGCTCACAGTTTCAGGGGGTTCCATCCATGGTTGGCTGGCTCCAAGGTAGAAATGGCATGGTAGAAGGGCACAGTGCCAGAATGCTGCTTATTCCATGGCAGTTAGGAAGCAGACAGCAAAGGAAGGAGCTGGGGACAACAGGACACCCTTCCAGGTCAAACCCCCAATGACCTACATTCTCCAATCAGGCCCAAACTCTACATAGCGTATCAGCTATGAACTGATCTACAAATAAGTATAGTGCCCCTAAGATCCAATCACCTTCCACAAGTCCTACTTGTGAACACAAGAGGCCTTTGGAGGATGTTCTCAATCTAAGCTGTAACATTCCACTCCTGGGGCATAAAGAGACTCATGCACATCTCTCTATGCAAAATTATTCAATCTCTAAGAGTTTCCAAAGTCTTAATTTCAGCATTTGCTGAAAAGTCCAAGTCCAAAGTCTCCTCTGAAACTCAGGATAAAATCTTAGCCTTGAGCCCCTAAGAAAATCAAAAAGAAAGGTAAATACTTCCAACATACACTGGCACAGGATAAACATTACCATTTCAAAAGGGAGGAAGATGGGGTCCAAAGAAATCAGACCAAAGTAAGACCAAAATCTAGCAGGGCAAACATTACATCCTGTAGCTCCCTCTCTAGTATCTGGAGTAGGCTGTAGTGAGAGGTAAGCTGTTAAGGGCTTGGCAAGACTTGGCCCATGGCCTTGCTGGTTATAGCCCAAATGGCCTGTCTCTCTCCTGGTTTGGCTCCCCTTGCTGCCTATGACTTTCCTCAGTAGATATTCTATGTTCCTGGCATCTCCAACTTCTTGAGGGCTTCACTACATTTTCAACTTTATTCCCAGAGTTTCACAGATCATCCTCTCTTGTGTATCATGCCTGGCCTCCCAGGATTTCCTTTGATGTCTGGGTGCAATCCTCTATGACCCCATACCTCTTGCATGCCTATAAACTCTGCATCCATGGATGACATTAAGGTCTGCCACCAGTTTGACAGTAACCAGGGTCCCTTGAACTATGGCTGCAACAGCCTCTTGAGTTCCTTGGATGGCTAAGCATGGTGAAGTGAATCCCGAGGAACTAATTCCTCAGTCAGCTCTTCTATGGTAGGGGGTCCAGGGACTCTCTTCTCAAATACAAGGTTTATAGCTATGATAGGTGAGGTCTTGCTGATTCCTGAGATGTCTTCAACCCATTTTTCCTATTGTCATAATGCAAAGTACTTGGCTTCCTTTTATTGCAAATCTTTTCATCAGCCATGTGATGCGTCTCTATACCCCAACTTTGTATGTGCTTCCTTTCTGGTGAGACCACAAACATTTTAAATTATTCAGTTCTGTTCTTTCTCCTGATTTTTAGTATAGATTTGGCTAAAAGCTGCCAGCAGTACCATCCCACAGCCTGAACACTGGGCTACCTTGAAATTTCTTTCACCAAATTAATTAGTCCTTTGCCCTTAATCTCAGTCTCCTGCAAAGTCTCAGGACATGGGCAAAATGTAAAAACAAACTTTTCGTCAGAGTGTAACACATACTGCCCCTGGCCCAGTTTCCAACAGAGAGTTCAATCTCATGAGTCTGGCCTTTATTGTTCACATTCCATCTGCACTCTGGTCTTTTGAGTCTTTTGAGCTCTGCTCAGTATGCACATTAGGCACTGCTTACATTCTAGGGCTTCTCTAGTCTGAATCTCCAAAAGTCTTTCAAGAAAAATACCCTCATGACCCAGTTCCAAAGGCTTCTGAAACACATGATCAGGTATAGTCACAGCAATGATTCCACTCCTGGTAACAATGTTCTGTATTTTCATTTCACACAGCTGAGACAGAATACCTCACACTTGCAACTTAAAGAAGGAGTGGTTTATTTTTGTTCAGATTTCAATGGATTCAGTCCATGCTTGCAAAATTGCTTGTCAAGATCATCAACAGTCTCTAATAGTCAATTCTCAGGTCTCATTTCATTCATTTTTTGGGACCACTGATGCAGGTTTTCACTCTTTATTCCTTGATACATTTTTATTGCTTAGCTTATTGCTTAGTGTGGTAAACCACAGTCCTCGAGATTTTCTAAGTAGTTATTCCTGCTCAGTTTCCACTGCTGCTATTTGATTTCTGTTCTTCTACTTAATATTGAAATACCCCAAGGTATCTTTGGTATTTTTCTATCTATATTCATGCCTTTGGTGATCTTACCCAGGCTCATAATTTAAATACATCTTTATGCCAATACTTATTTCCCTCAGGCTCACTTATAATGTCTAGTACACATACAAAACTCCAAGGTTCAAAACCAATCTCCTATTATCCCCCAACTTTCTCTACCACATATTAACCATTATTTTTGGTTAAGGACCTTTCTGAAGGAGAAGCTCCATCCTTCCTATTGCTCAGATGAAAAAATACGGAATCATTCTTATTTCCTCTTCACCTATCTGGTCCATCAATAAATTCAGTGTACTACATCCTCCAGATATAGGTAGAATTTCAAGATTTCTTCACCTCCCACAATGCTACTATTCTGACCCAAGTCAGATTTATATCACATTTGGATTACTGAGATAACTTCCTATCTGGTCTCTTGGTCTCTTGGCTTGTGTCTTTAACCCCTACACCCTATTCTAAATATAGCAGCAGAAAGATACCTTTAGTGCTTAATTTAGATGCCATCCTCCTGTTCAAAATCCTATAATATTGACTCATCTTACTTAAAGGAAAAGCCAACTTTGCTTATACTTTTTTAACTCAGTGCAAACTCAACATCATTTAAATTTTTTTCTGTGTTTAAAAGACACAAAAATAAACACACAAAATGAAGAGCTAAGCCAGGAATGGTGGCACATGCCTATAACACCAGCACTTGGAGGCTGAGGAAAGAGGATTGCCATGTGTTTCAAGGCCAGCTGGGGCTACATGGTAAGTTCAAGTCCAACCTAGACTGCATAGCAAGACCCAGGGATGGATGGAGGGAGGGAGGGAGGGAGGACGGGAGGAAGGACAGAAGGAAGGAAAACAAACTGATTCCTAAAGTTCATCTGCATCTGAGTTCTGATCTGTGAGTCAATTTTAACAAGTCACACTATAAAATGATAGCATAGTATATTTCATGCCTCTATTTGTTTCATATAATGTCCTTTCTCCCCTCTCTACACTCTTTCTCTGCTGAATTTAAAAACAACAAAAAAAATTTTATTGGTATAAGAAATTATAAGCCAGGTGTGGTGGATTACCATTAGTTTGAGGAGTATCATGACAAGTATGAGGCAAGCCTGGGCCACACAGTGAGTTCAAGGCCAACCTGAACTACATAGCAAGACTCTGACTCAAAACAAGAAAAAAAAAAAAAAAGAAAGAAATTACAAAGACTGGGAAGTACTACCCGAAAGGATTTAACAAGCATGTGCCTATATTAAAAACTCATTAAACATGGAGAAAGGAATTTATGTTGGCTATAGTGCTAGATCCACACCCCTCTATATCTATATCTATACTGGCTATGTGACACTAAAGTTCTAAGACTCTCCAGTTCTCTGTTTCCTGTAACAATACTATCCATTTCATAGAAGTATAAAAATTAAATGCGATGACACCTATAACATATAGACCCTTAGTAGCTACCTATGATTTCAGTTAATACAACAATATGTAATGGTACATGGTGGGAGACAGAATAGGAGGAAGGTCAGCAGGAGCAGACCACTCTTGTACAGAAAAGAATTTCATTCACTTACATTATTTTAAAACTTTTATTACAGTGATAATAAAAAGCTTTTTGGTTATTTGCATTACCGTTTTTAAATTTGCGGCAGACTATGCACCCTTTTCCTGCCTTCACCAAGGCACTATGGCAAAAGACCATTTCCCATAAACGTTCATTCATATTAACTGTTTTATGAGCCATAGTGTATGACATGAACTCAGAGGACAGTATGAGTATGATCATAATGTATTATGAAATAAACTATGATTATTTGGAAAACAAAAATATTTACTTACCTTTCTTGAATTTATGTACAGGTAGTTTCTTAAGTTGATCTTTACCAAGTCGATTTCTTCTAGCTCTATGTCTATCCTGGACAAATTTTGTGATCTGAAATAAAAGCGAAAAAATGTATCAGACAGTAAACATGCAAATAAAAAATAGCTATTAACAAGTATCTTAAGTTTCCAGATAGCTGCTCTAAACACTTTAAATCCTAATCACAACTAGGTTATTAAAGCATTAAATTAAAAGTGATTAGGTAACACATATTATCCTTTGAATATTTAGTTTATTCACCTTGATTACTTTTCACTTATTGATAGAAGACTTATAAATTTCATATAACTGCTTGTAAAATAAAAATAATAGATTACAGTTACCAAGATTCCAATGGGCCAAAAAGAACAAGAAGTTGAGATTTCTTTAAGTTACAAACTAATAAAATTTTCAAACACATCCAATATTTATTATACTTTCAATTCTAGCAGCATAACAGACAGAGCTAAGACAGAATACTTCTACTATCAATGTTCATAAATGTCAAATAAAACATACAAAACACTTTGAAGTATAAATTGCCAAGCTTGAGAGAATGAAAGGGAAAACAAATACCAAAAACACCATTCATAAAAGAAAAAATTAACAAAGTTGACTACATCACAGTTAGAACTACCTCACACTCTGAGAGGCGGCAGCAGGAGGGTTGCAGGTTCAAGTTACCTTGAGAAACTCAGTGAGCAGAAAGAACTTGCCTCAAAAAGGAGGGGTAGGGGAGGATACAGCTTAGTATGGATGTCCTGGCTTCAAACCCCAGGACATGTTAAAAAAAAAAAAAAAAAAAAAGGTAAGAATGTCTATCCTTAAAAGATACTGCTAGGAAAAATATATGAAAATAAAAAATAAAAGTATGAATACCTTTTTTTAAAAAAAGACAAACCATAGATTAACTGCCACATTATATAGCTGATAAAGGAATTTGTATCCAGAATAAAGAATGCTCAAAAGTCAATTTAAAAAAGCAATCCTATTGAAAGAAATAGATAACTTTACCACAGAAGACATACAAATGGCAAGTAAGCACATAAAGAGATGCTCAACATCATTAGTCAAGAGGAAAGTACAAATTTCGGAATCATACTTACATACTACTTCGTACCTACCAGAATAACGACATCTAAAAGACTGACTATATCAAACATTGACATGGAAATGGAGAAACTGGAACTTTCATGCACTACTAAGCAAGACTGTAAAATGGTACAACCACTTTGAAAATCACTTTGGCAATTTACTACAAATTTAAAACACATCATTTGACACAACCATCCCACTCCTAGATATCCAGCTGAACAAAAGTACTGTACATGTGCACACAACTTGCACATAAATGTCTACATCGCCTGTATTTGTAATAGCTAAAACCTAGAGACAACACAAATGTCCCTCAAAAGGTTAACGGACAGACTATGGTATAATCATACAATGGAACACAATTAGGGAATAAAAGGAACTAATAATATGTCAATGATTTATATTAATTTTCAATTCTGCTAACAAGTCAGACACAAAAGAGTGCATACTTCATGGTTCTGTTTATACAAAGGTATAGAAAATGCAAGGTAATCTACAGTGAACAAAGTCAGATCTGTAAGTAAGGATGGGGGGAAAAGGGACATGAAAGAGAAATTGAAAAAACAAAAGGAGAAGGATTAGTAAGGAATATTAGGAAGCACTGGAGGTGATGGACATTTAATTATGTTTACTATGGTGGAAACAGTTTCACTGGTATGTGTGTATATACATATACATGTCAAAACATATTGTAAAATATAAGTACAATGTATTATATTATTATATGGCAATCATACCTCAATAAATTTTTTAGTAACCACTAAAGAATAGCAAAAAACATAAGCATTCAAATAAATAGAAGAAAAAGTAAAAGTTAATACAAATTTCATAGAAGAAAAAAAATCAGTAAAATGCAAACAATATAAATTAACCCCAAGCCAGGTGTGGTGGCCCTCACCTATAATCTCAGCACTCAGGAGGCTGAGGCAGGAGGATCGCTGTGAATTCGAAGCCAGCCTTGGCTACGAAGTGAGTTCAAGGCCAGCCTGAACTACATAGTGAGACCCTGTCTCAAAACAAAACAAAACAACCCAATATATGTTACCACAATTAATATAAGTTGATTAAGTTCACCAGTGTTTTTTTTTCAAAAGAGTGTATCATATTGTAAAAGGAAAAAATCCAAGTTTATGCTATCTAAAAAGATTAAAACTTACATATTAATGTCAAAAGTGAAAAATAGAGATGAATAAAGATATAACATAAACATATTAACACAAGAAAATCTAATGTATCATGTAAAATAGAATTTAAAGCAAAAATTATTAGAAGACAGCTGTGACACTGATTAAAAAAAAAAAAAGAGACTGGAAGAATCAATATTGTTAAAATGCCCGTACTACCTAAAGCAACTTACAGATTGAGTGCAGTCTCTATCAAAATATCAATGGCATTCTTCACAGAACTAGAAAAAACAATTCTAAGACTTGAATGGAACCATAAAAACCCCTAAGTAGTCCATGCCACTTTGAGCAAAAATAACAAAGCAGGACTCATTATTTGACTTCAAAAATGGTAAAATGACCTGAGCTCAGTGCTCAAACAAAGAGGGTGTAGCACTGGCAGGTTTGAGGTGATTCAGGCTCCCGCCAGGATGATAGAGGCTGTTTGCAATGACTCCCTGGGGAAGAAAGTCTGTGCTAAGTGCAAATGAAATCCACGATAAGATGAACCTGGACCTTTACTACCAATAGAGCAGAACTCCTCCCCCTTGCCCTGCCCTCCTCCCCCACCCTCCCCTCTCACACTGGTATGGATACTTGTTTTTAAAAATTCACATTAATAAAAACTTAGATGCTGAGAAAAAAATGATACAAAGCTGCTTACAATTAAAATAGCATGGTGTTTGGCATAAAATTATGCATTAGACCATCTGAACAGAATAGAGAACTCAGAAGTAAACCTAGGCATCTACAATCAACTGCTTTTCAACAGTGTGCTAAGAACATACACAATGGCAAAAGAGCAGTGTTTTCAACACAGGGAGTTGGAGAAATTGGGTAACTACACGCAGACAAACGAAGCTAGGCCCTATCTTTCACCAGTTACAAAGACCAACTCAAAATGGATTAAAAACTTAAATGTAAGACCTGAAACTATGAAGCTACTTGAAGAAAATACAGGTATAACTCTTCAGAAAACTGTAATGCGTAAGAATTTTTTGTATAAGACCACAAATGCACTGGAAGCAAAAGCAAAAACAGACAAATGCAAGTATATCAAGCTAAAAAGCTTTTGCATAGCAAAGAAAACAATCAACAGAATGCAGAGACAACCTGAGCGTGGTGCCCACTCCTGAAGTCCCAGCACTTGGGAGGCTGAGGCAGGACTGCTGTGAGCTCAAGACCAGTCTGGCCTACATAGCAAGTTCAAGGCCAGGCTGAACTACAGAGCAAGACCTTGTCTCAAAAAGGACCAAAAAAAAAAAAAAAATGAATGCAGAGACAATCTAGGGAATACAAGAAAATATTTACAATGTATACATCTGACAAGGAACTCCAAAAGCCCTTCAGAAAAAAACAAATAAAAAAAGATTTTTAAAACAGGCAGTAAGTCTAAATAGCTGCTTTTCAAGATAAACATATGGTCAATAAGTATATGAAAAGCGCTCAACATCACCAATCATTAGGAATGCAGATCTAAACCACACTGAGGTATCTATCACCTTACCCCAGTCAGAAGGGCCAGCATCATAAAGTCTAAAGATAACATACACTGTGAAAATGTGAAGAGAGGGGAACCCTTGTACACTGTTGGCAGGAATGTAAGTTAGTACAGCCATAGTGGAAAACAGCAGGAAAGTTCTTCAAAATATTAAAAATTAAAATACTATATGATCTTCAGGTCCCCACTACTGAGTATATACCCAAAGGAAATAAAATCAGTATACTGAAGAGAAATCTGCACTCCCATGTTTATTGCAGCGCTATTTAAATGGTCAAGAAACTGAAACAATCTAAGTATCCACGAACTGATGAATGGATAAAGAAAATGTATATATACCCAATGGAATACGATTTAGTCACAAAAAAGAATGAAATCAGGCATTTGTGAGATGATTGGAAGCAGAGATGATTATGTTAAGTGAAATAAGCACAGAAAAACAAGTACTGTGTAATCCCACCCGTATGTGGAATCCAAAAGAGTTGGTCCCATGTACATTGCGAGCAGAGTAGTGGTTGCCCACTGATCAAGGACAGAGGGGTGGGTGATGGTGAGGGTGGGGTAGTCTGGTCAGTGGGTACTAAGTTACAGTCACACAAGTGCAGGCTCTGTGGTACTACTGCAGAGTGTGGTGACCAGAGATAGCACTTATGTGCAATATATTTCAAAAGGCTAGAGAGAAAAGAATTTTGAAAGTTTTCACATGAAGAATGAATAAATATTTCAGACTATACATGTTTAACCTGGCTTAAACATTAATGAATATATGTATCAAATGTTACAATCTGTAAACCTCATTAATATTTACAGATTTTATGTTTTTATGTATTAGTTAAAAATAAGTTTTTAAAAGTGAGATGTACTGTCAATATAAACTACACACAAGACTGCAAAGACTTAGTATTCAAAGAATGTAAAACAAATGTGAAGTGAATGTTAAAATACGTTTTAGATTTATTGCCTTAAATAGACAAAGTACTGAAGTTAATCTCACCTGTTTCTTTTTACCTTTTAAAATTTGGCTATCAGAAAACTCAAAATAATCATAAAATGTGGCTCACAGTATTGTTTTATTGCTTAGCACTGTTTCAGAAAATATGACAACGCAAGGGAAGTACAGACAGTTGTGATGAAGGCTGCACAATTCTGTACCACCTTATGCGGTGTCACCCATTCAGGCTGGGGAGGCCGTGGGAATGTCTGCACGTGCCTTCGTTCTTGGCTGCTCAGCTGCTCACCTCGCCCATCCAGCCACTCTTGTGGCTCAGTCACTGTACGTACGCAGCAGTCCTTCGCCCCCTAGCCAGCCCATT